CTAGCTTACTTAAAACTAAAATAGATTATTATTAAAATAAAAATATGAACTTATTTTTTATTCAAATAAAACTTATTATTAATTTTTGCCTATGAATAAGTTTCTTAAGTGATTTTTAAATATGATTTTTTCTGTGCGAAAATGACAATACCACTTCATCAACTCATGAACTTACGTGATACTTTTGACTACAAATTCAGGTTCAGTTTGGCGTTCTATTCCTTTAAATCAATGTGAGACTTTATATTGAAGCTTATGGATGTACTTACAATCAATTTTATGCTTTGAGTATGAACACGATATTTGATTAGAAGCAACCAATTCCAACACTCCATTCTTACATAAAAGTCTTCCAAGAGGGCGGCTAAAATAATAATAATAATAATAATACACACAGAAGAAGCTACGTGTGGGCCACCTTGTTACTTCTACTAGTTTTGACTAGCAATTACCAACCAGTTTGGTTCTAGCTTATAACAAAATTAGTTGGGAATTTTCAATTTTGTGTCATTTTATGCACATGTAAAATCATAAAATTGCCCCTCCCCTTTTTCTCCTCTCTCCATGGTCGATTATCACGAGTCATCACAGGATTTTCATTAGAGACAAAAATATTTATAAATATTATTCTTACAATAATTGTTCGAATAATGCTTTATGTGTGTGTGTATCCATTTACAGCTCCTCATCTCATTTTTTTTCCATTTATTTAAAATATTTTGAATGCCAAGCAAGTCTAATTAAATTTGTATATGTTGAGATTTTTTTTTAACCACAAATTGACTCATTGTTTACTGTTAAAATCAGGAAACATTGCACCACGCCGATTTAAAAGATTGTGCATTACATTGCTCCATAATTTGATTTAAGATACCAATTTAAAAATACTTTGGACAAATATATCCATGCTATAAACAAAATCCATAAATAAAGCATACTATATATAATTTTTCATAAATTTCATCATGCATACTCATTTTTCCTTGCATAGATTCTGAATAAGGCACAATTTATAACTTCACAATTGTATAATGTTACCCATTGATATTAATAAATAGATCATATTTATCACACAGTACACATTCAACCCCAATATACTGCATAGCCCCAAAAATAAAAACACCGTGTAAGCTGACAAAAAAAATGGTGTAGAAGCTGACAAAACAACGAGCAAAAAACAAGTTAAAAAAGTCATGAAGACACAATTAAGACTCAAACCCTTTCGTCTGCTGTATGCTTGGTTAAACTAATAAAGAAATTGTACCTTCACAATAAGAGACCTTGAATTTGAGCCCTAAACATATATCCAATGTTGGTCATAGAGCTTAGCTTAAAATGATTTCATCCTAACTCAATTTAACTTAGTCCCGACTTGTGTTAAGTCTTCTCAATTTGTAGAGCAAACTCAAGATATGGGATGTTTAATGAAAAAAATTCAAACCTTCCTACAGTAATTAAAAAATTAATAAAAAATATTTATGCTATATTTGGATATATATAGATTTACATTTGAGCCAAATCTATTATTTGAATAATTAAAAATGTATGAATTTGAATTTGACCCAAATTCAAATCTAAGTTCTACCTTAATCTCTTTGTAATTTGAAATATTTTCTAAACCTCTGTTATTTTAAATTCTAACCCAATCTCTTTTGTAATTTGCGACAAATCTACAAAGGTTTGATCGACTTGCTAATAGTAATTGAATTGGATTGCCGAAGCTGATGGAACCAAGCTGCCACCTTTGACTGAGAATGGACCATTGCTGCCAATCGAGATTGGGATCGAATTGTCTGCATCCGTAAGGACTGGATTGCAAGCGATAATGTAGACCAAATGACCAACTTCCATTAAGATTGAACCACTGACACCAACTTAAACTGGACGGCTAACTTCCATCAGGATCAGACATCAATGATGACTCGGATAGGCCTTAGAGTTCCACTAGGACTGCACATTGACAACAACTGGGATCGGACAATAGACTTTCACTAAGGTCAAACAAATGGTGATGATCAAGATTGGACAACTAACTTCCACCAAAATTGACAAAAGGTGACAACCGAGATCGGACGACCAACTTTTATTAGGATTGCACCACTGACGACAATAGAGATGAGACAATCAACTTCTATTGTGATTAGATTGATAGCAATGACAAGGACCGGACGACAGACTTTCACTAGGATTGAACTGACGGTTACGATCGAGATTGAACGACCGACTTCTATTGAGACCAGGCAGCCTGTGCTGATTGGGATCAAACGACCTCTTGCAATTGAGATTAGATCGCTAATGTTGATTGTGACTGGATCATCAGCGGTCTGATCCCAATTGAAGTTGCCAATTCGATCCCAGTCAAAGTTGTCGACCCAATCACTGTGGGAGCTGGTTATTCATTCATGGTTGGAGGCATAATCCAAGTTAGCAATAGTGATCTGGTTTCAGTCACTTCCCGATTAAAGTCAGTTGTCCAGTCCCAGTCATCCCTATCAATCCAATCCTAGTGGAAGTTAGTCGTCTAGTCTAGATCTTCGCAGTCAATCCGATCCTGATGGAAGTCAGTCATATAGTCCCGTAAAAGTTGGCCGTCCAATCTTGGTGGAAGTTAGCCATTTGTTAACCTCTAGAAGTTCATGTTATTTCATCATATTTTTCTTAGATTCTAATCCATTTTAGCTCAATTGTGTATGTTTTTATTGCCTAAATTAGGAACATATGTATTTTGTTTTGGGTTTGTATTCTTAGCTTTAATTTGATATTTTTGGCCTAATTTGATATTAGTTTGGTTGAAATTTCAATTAGAAGCATTTCTAGAGCTTTGTGGATGTTTTTGGAAGGCTTTTGGATGAAGAAATCAAGCACAAAATGAATGATTTTTGTTAGCTGCAAAAACAGTGCAAAACTGCCAAAGTCGTCCCAAAGTCGTGACTTTCGTTCGCGACTTTCGCCACTGTCAGAAAAACGCTGCGTTTGATTTATCAGAAATTGGTTGGCTAGGACATATATATGCTGAGAGCTCGACCCAAAATGCATTCTTCAGACTTTTAGACACTTTTAGAGCTTGGTTGTGCTAGGGTTTGAGCATTGGAAGAGCTGGGATCAAGAGATTGAAGCTTTGAAGACATTTGGAGCTCATTTTCTTCGGTTTTTCTATTCCTCTTCTCTTTCCTCTCTTGTAATCTGAAATGGGTCCACTTATTTTATATATTTGTAACTTGTGGATGATTATGAGTAGCTAAACCCTTTGTTTTAGGATTATTTGGAACCCTTGTATGGATTAACACTATATTTCTCCTCTCTTTTTGTGATTAATGATATATATGTGTTTATTTTACTCTTTTTTTAATGCTTCTACATGATTGGCCACCATTTAAATATTGGGTTCACTTAATTGATGCTTGAGAGGGTTAGGTTGAGTGTAGAACTTGAGTAATATTGTACAAGAACTTGATATTTGCATGTTGAATGGATGGTTTTTCTAGTAAGATAGAGATATACTTGCTTGCCTTGCATAGCCACATTAGGGTTGGTGTTTAAAATTGATTTTTATTAATTGTAACAAGAGATTGGGCAATTAATTTAACTAAACACTTGTTCATGACTTGAGAAAGCTTGTCCAAGTATTTTTAGAACTCTAGGTTAGCATTTATTTTCATTAAAAGCATTTCTGAGAGGAGGTAATTTTGGTGTTATGAAATACAAGGGGGATAAATAATCTTAGGTCCTAAATTGTGTTTGAAGTTTGTGAATCAATTCCTTTTCTTTATTTTCTAGTGTTAATTTAGTTTGTAAAATCATGTTCACCTACTTATATTTGGCTCAACTTGATTGAACTCACTTAGTCTTTTGTTTGATCATTGTTTTTAAACAAATCCTTGAGGGAAATACTTTACTTTCATTATATTACTTGCTATGACCCGTACACTTGCGGTGAGCAACACTGTTCATCTGGTCTTGGTGAAAGCCGCCCATCAGGTCTTGGTTGTTGTCATCAATCCAGTCCTAGTAGAAGTTAGTTGTTTGGTTTAAATCATATTCGGTGCTATAAACCCATTCAATGTTGATAATCTGGTCCTGGTAGAAGTTGATCATTCAAATCGTTGACTTTGATTAAGAATGAACTGCCTATGTAGTCCAAGTTTCTTTTAAATTTAATTATAAAATTTGAAATTTAAAATTTTACTTTATATCTAAGTAAAAGATTTTAATATTAAAATTTAAATTTTTTTATATCATTCAAATAAATAATTTAAAATCTATGAATTTTATATATGAGATTTCAAATATGAGATTTTAAATTTAAATTTTCAACTTACATCTACCCACCCAAATGCAACATCAAAGTTAGCAGAGCCATTGTATTCTCCAACCCGTTCCACCCCCCATATTTAGGAGATAGTCTTAAGGGATCAAAATGATAAAAATTAAATTTAAGGGACCAAATTGATTATTGAGATAAATTTGAGAGATTTTCATTATCCCTAATTAAAAATGAAAAAAAATACTTATTTAATCTTATTTATAAGTAACTTTTAAGTTTTATCATATTTCATTAGAATATCAAGAAAAATTTTAAAATTTATTAATTCGATCTAAAAGTTTAATAAAATTTTAAAATTTACCCTCTCTAAACTTACATAATTTAATATCATATTTTTTTCACTAACATTTAATGAAATGTAAAATAATTAAATTATGATAAAAAAATTAATAATATAACTTATAAATAAAAAAAATTAATCTTTCATCACCTTGTAGGACTAGACAGAATATATATGCTTAGTCTTATATACATATAGCATTTATTCTCAATTAAATTAAAATATGTAAATTTTTGTTTTTAAAAAATATAACATACAGATCTTTTATATTGTATTAACATTTTAAAATTTATTTGTTTTAATTCGAATGAAAAAAAAAAGTATATTACTTACGTATATAAGATTAAATAACTAGGTTTTCTTAAAAAAATTGGGAAAAAAAAAAAAGAAGAGCTCAAACTTGGTGGGTCCATGGTATCCTCAGACCCGTTCCATCCACCACCCACTATATCTGGAAGAGAAAATAGTCTCGGGCAAGAAACCAAGAAGAATAAGAAAGAAAGACAGAAAGAAAGAAGAGCCATGGCTGTGATCTGTTGGAACAACATCCCAGAGATTGATCTGCAAGAATCTGCAGATAATAACAATAATCGTCAAGAACTGAAGAAGAAGCTGAGAGAGGCGTGCCAGGAATGGGGATGTTTCAGAGTGAAGAACCATGGAATTGATTCAAGCTTGATGGGAGAGATGAAGAAGGTGGTGAGAAGTCTGCTTGATCTTCCTCTGGAGATTAAGATGAGAAACACTGATGTTATTGCAGGAAGTGGATATATGCCTCCAAGTTCAGCCAATCCTCTCTATGAAGGCTTGGGACTCTACGACATGGCTTCGTCTCAGGCCGTCCAGGGCTTTTGTTCTCACTTAAATGCCTCTCCCCACCAAAGGTTTCATTTCTTCAATTTTTCTTCATCTATCTCAGTTGGACTAAAAGTTTACTCGTAGATAGATAGATATATACTGCTCTGTTCTAATTAGACTCCTCTGATTTTATTCAAAGGACCAAAAGAAGATTTTTTTTAATTTATTTATAAATTATGTTATTAATTTTTTATTATAAATTTTTTTAACCCTCATTAAATATTAAAAAAAATTTATTGTTAAAATATGTAAATTTAGCGGAGATAAATTTAAAAATTATTAAATATTTAGATAAAGTTAGTAAGTTTTAAAATTTTTTTAATATTAATAAAATATGTTAGAAAATAATTTATAAATAAAATTAGAAGAGTATATACGTGTTTTGTAGAAAATTTTCTTAGTCGAGTATTATATAATATTCTCTTCATCCCAAGTTATATATAAAATATTTTTGAAAGTGATTTGATATTCCAAAATATCTTCATATTTTGACAAATTTTTTTAATATTGATAAAATATGTTAAAAGTGATTTATCAATGAAATTAAAAGAGTATATATGTGTTTTCTAGAAAATTTTCTTAGTCGAATATTATATAATATTCTCTTCATCTCAAATTATATATAAAATATTTTTAGAAGTTATTTGATGTCCTAAACTATCTTCATATTTTGACAAAAGTAATGTTTCATTAAGATTATATTAAATTAAGGGTATTTTTTTAAAAAAATTATACTTCCTTTGTTAAAAAATGTAAGATATTTTTAACAAAATTTCACTTTCAATAAAGTAGTTACTTACTTTTAAACTAACTATATTTTTTCATATTTGTCCCTATTAAACACCCTACAATAAATATAAAGTTATTATCAATAAGGGCACTTAAAAAAAGGCAATGATTACATTTCAAAAGATTAAAAATGCCTTATATTTTTTAACATCTAACTCCTCAAAAAATATTTTATATTTTCAAATGGAGAGAGTATTTGTTTTTTAAACAAATAAAATTGTAAACTATATTTTATGAACTTTATTAATACACATAATTTTGCTAAAAAGTGTCATATAAGTGAGATGGAGGGAGCAGTATATAATGGCTTTTACTTTTGTCCTCCAGAGACTTGGAGAATGATAACATAAATTATGTCTGGGGGTTTGCATTCATTTAATTAATTAACAAGCTTAACTACTCCTACTGAGTAAAGGGTAAAATAGAAAAAAAAAAAGTCTTTAATAATGAATTGACTTCACATTGACAAAAATTTGCTTTTGCTTATACGTAATATTTGGCTTTAACTATATCATGGAAATAAGGGAAGCCTTGAAAAAGATGTCTCATGTTTGGATCAAGGAGAAGAGAAAAATAGATGAATGAATAGAAGTGAAAATAGATTTTTCTTATTTCGAAATAGTGAAAAAAAAAAATAGAAAGCCAAAAAGGGACTAGAAAAAGGCGCATAGGGCTCACATTTTTTCCAAAGCTTTCTCTAAGTGAAGATATTTTAGTAAGAGAACATACTTTCTAAAATTACCCCAAAGAAGGGAAATAGAGGCATATATGTGTGACTTGCATATTTTTCATATGGATATTGTTGTCTATTAAATTAGTCACTTGCCAACGGTAACACCATCTTCCTTACTTGGAAGATGTCCTAGATTCGATCCCAACATTGATATGTTAGAGTATGTGTGTCTCCCTTTCCTATGAGTAAGGACTAGATTAGAGATAAAATTTATATTAAATTAGTTAGTTTTCTTTTGTTTATTCTTTTTTACTCTCTTGTTTATCCAAACACAAGGGTAAAAATATGAGAGAATGTCAATGAGAGTGTAAAACATTAAATTAATTATAGTTAAGTAGCCAACAATTTTTTTTTGAAAAATAAGTTAAAAATCAATATAAATAATTATAAATTTAAGAGTTTTAATTGCAAATGAATATTTACATATTAAGTGCAACTATTTTTCTCTTCCCTCTGTTTCTTCTCCCATTCTAAACAATGCCCTAGGGAGATGTTCATGACACATATTATTTATTGAACAATTGGTTATTAATAGTAATGTATTGAAAAATAGATTGGTCATTGAATTAGTTAAGACATCGAGTCAATGGTTAATAATTAAAACTATAGTTGATCAATGATGAAACTAGTAATAAACAAAGCATTTTTTTAATACGTCAAGATGTTGATTTAATGATTTACTATAGTTCAACCGGATGAGTTAATTTGAATTTTCACACTATGATTAATAGAGACAAATGATATTTTGTGATTCATATAGCCGATCCCACTTAAATTAATATATCATGGATGTGTAGGAAGGTGTTAGAGACATATGGGAAAGCAGTTCATGAATTGTTGATGGATATATCAAAAAAGATGGCAGAGAGTTTGGGTTTGAAAGAAGGAATTGTATATTTTAAGAAATGGCCATGTCAGTTCAGGATAAACAAGTATAGTTTCACATCAGAAACTGTAGGATCATCTGGTGTGCAAATTCACACAGATTGTGCATTTCTCACCATTTTGCAAGATGATGAAAATGTTGGAGGGCTTCAAGTGATGAACAATAAGTCTGGTTCATTTGTTGATGTCCCTCCTTGCACAGGAAGCTTCTTTGCCATTCTTGGTGATATTGCTCATGTAAGTCCTCTAGCACTTCCTGCTTTTAATTTAACCCTAAATTAATCCATCATTAAAGAGACCTATGAAACTTGCATGCTTTTGAGTTTTGATGATCAAATTTTTCCTCAATATGGAAATAAAAGTAGTTAATTAGTATGATAATCTCAAAGACACTAATTCTTAATTCATTAAATATGATTGTTTAGCGGTGTCAATAGTGATTGAATATAATACAATTTTTTTACATGTTAAAGATTAATATAAGAAATATTTTAGACTTAATTATATATATATATATATATATAAATCAAATATGACTTGCTATTTAAATTCAGTTGACTTTTTAATAAATTTTATAATTTAAATCTAAAATATCATCCGTTGATAATTTAACCATCCAAGATGAACAAGCTAGACTAGTGTATAAATCAGAATTATATATGGTCTATAAAAAAAAAGTCAAAATTTTATGATTGAAAATAACAAGAACTATATATATTAATTCACTTGCAGTTATTTATTTTAAAAACTCATAAAACAAATTTTAATTGGTCCATGCATGAGCATATCGCAAAATTAAAAAATAAAATAAAAAAGTGCTTGATAAATAATATCCAAGAAAAATACCATTAATTCATAAATAAGACAGGAAATAGTTAACTAGCTTCTACACTTAGCACCAGAGAGGAAGTAGCTTATTGGTTGAATCCGTCGATAGAACAATTTGAGACAATTAATTCTAGCCATTAATATCAGTAACCTTGAAATATTTGCAATTAACATGAAGGTGTGGAGCAATGGAAGGTTTATGTACGCGAAGCATAGAGTAGAATGCAAAGAAGCAAGTGTTAGGGTTTCAATAGCTTCATTTCTGCTGGGACCTAAAGAAGAAGTGCGAGCACCTGAAGATCTAGTGGACTCTGATGGCCATCGTCTTTTCCTTCCCTTTGCTTATGAACACTACAAGAAGCTCAGGCTCTCTAACAACATGCGTGCTGGTGAAGCTCTAGCCCTCCTTCACACCCATTCAAAACTTCAATCCTAATTAAAAGTCCATTGAAATATATATATATATATATATATAAAATTTATTAGATGTGCCATGAAGTACTTCTTTTGAATAAGTGGAGACACAAGAGGGTCATATGGTGGAATAGAATGTCAGTCTTGACTCTTCTCTTTTTCTCTCCCTTATTTATTTGGATTACTTTAGAGAATCTGAATTCAAAAACAATACTCCTCTCATCCTATTTTTTTAGACAAAAAAAATATTTATTTTAATCTTATTTATAAGATAATTTAATAATTATTATATTTATCTTTATCATTTTACCCCTATTAAATATAGAAAAGTTTATTAAATGTTAGAATATTTTATTTTAAAATATATATATTTAATTGAGATAAAGTTAAAAACTTGTTCAATTTTTATATAGAATTAATAAGGTTTAAAATTTTTCTTTGTTCTTGTGAAAATATTAGAAGTGATTTATAAATAGAATTAAATAAAATATTGATTAAATTTTAAGATCTATTTAAAATAATTGTGATTTTTAGCCTAAAATTAATTAAGAGAAATTTGAAAGCCATCCTTATTAAAATCCTTTATTATGGTTGTGGCAAATCGTAATCGTCCATTTATTTTGTCCTTTTATCTTTTGTAGTTTTAATTGAATTGAAATTTCATTTTAGGGATAATGAAACTTTAGTCTTTTAAGTTTGTCTCAATTATCGATTTAAACTTTTAAATTTAAATTTAGTTTCTCATTTTTTTAAAATTGTCATATTTGTCATTTAAGTTTTAACACTCAAATTGACTCAAAAATTAATTTAATGTGTAAAGTATGTTGATAGTTGATACTTTGGTATGTGTACATAGTTAAATGTAAACTAGCCCTCAAATCAATTTAATTTTTATTAATATAGTCCCTAATGTTGTGTTCAATTATTTTGCATTCAAAAATTTTTGAATTTTTTTACCTAATTAATTACACTTCTTTTTATTAATATATATGATTGATATCAATATTTTATTATTTATGTCAACAAATTTTAATCATTTTATATTTTCTTTAAACAATAAGGACAACATTAATAATTGAGGCAAACTTAAAGAACCAAATCAATAATAATTAAAATTTGACAGGCTGAATCAATAATTGAAACGAATTTAAGATATTAAAAGTTTTATTATCCCTTTATCTTATTTATGGAGGCTTTGTTTCATCTCGCTTTTAAAGATCAAAATCATAATTTAACTTTTAACTCGAGGTCAAGTTGCGCTAGGCTACGTGTTAATAATTATATTTTGGTATACATTTAATTACTTCAACTATAATTCACTAATTTTATTAATGCTTGTGATTAAGTAAAATGTTGGGAGTTAAAGGGGTTATGATCACAATATAATGTCTTGGGTTTGATTCCATGTGAATGTATAAAAAAATAACTTTAATTTGATAGAGCTACTGCAAATTTAATCAGCTCAAATATAAACCTAATTAGATGACCTTATTAAATAAAAGAAAAAGAAATGGCCAACCAACAAAGGGTTGGATTTAGTAAAAGAAACTTATTCTTCACAATGTGGTGAATAAGATTTGAATCCTCAATTGTCTTGAATAAAAGAATACCCGTGAATAATTAAAAAAAAAAATAGGAGAAGGATGGGATAAGGTGGGGGATTAAAAAGATTGAGTTAAAAAAGGAGGATGAGTCAAGCACGTTCTAATTCATACCGAATATTCAACGGTTTTTTGTTATCTTTCATCGTCTATCATCCAAACATAAAATTCGTAACTCTGATAAAAGTCTTGATCCCTTCACACTTTATGTTTGCACATTCCGTCGCTCGGCTCAACTCATAATTTTAAGTTATAAAGAAAGACGACGTAGAGAAATACGGTTGAAGAAATCGACAAAACCTTGGAAAAAGCTAAACATTGGTGTCGTCACCAGACAGATCCCCTCAACCTCAACCTACTCAAATGTACGAGTACAAAAAACCACCACAGCAACAGAGAGTGTTCATGAACAAAGTTCCAGAAAAGAAAACCACAGTGAAAGAGAATGACAACGACGATGACTAGCAGCAACAACATCCCATTGATCGATCTGCGAGAATCTGCAGAAAATCCTAAAGATCTGATAAAGAAGAAGCTGAGAGAGGCGTGCGAGGAATGGGGATGTTTCAGAGTGAGGAACCATGGCATTGATTCAAGCTTAATGGAAGAAATGAAGAAGGTGGTGAGATGCCTGCTTGATCTTCCTCTGAGATTAAGATGAGAAACACTGAACAAGTAATTGCAGGAAGTGGGTATATGCCTCCAAGTTCATTGAATCCTCTTTACGAAGGGTTTGGACTCTACGACATGGCTTCTTCTCACGCGGTTCAATCTTTCTGCTCTCAATTAGATTCTTCTCCCCATCAGACGTAACTCTCTCTCTCTCTCTCTACCTCTTTTCCCTTACAGTGATATGTTACATGCACACACATATATCTAATATGGGGGTTGCAGCAAATGAAGAAAGAGCTTGAATAAACTAGCTAAGTTAATTACCTTGAAGCATATTTTGTTCCATGGAAACTCAAATCTAGGTAGAATATCACTACAAAAAGAATTGACTTTGCCATCACTGAAAACTAAAAAGTGTCATCATTGAAGGTTTTCAACGGCGATCAAAAGTTGTCACAATATCACCATGAGAGCTCTTATCATTGATTTTATTTATCACCGTTGAAAATTGAGAATTAATAGCAACAAATGTCATCGCAGAAAAGAAAATTTATCACTACAAAAAGACAGTTGCCGTTGAAAGTTAAGAATTGTCACCATAAAAACCACACATCAGTGGCGGCAATTTGGTCACCGTTGAATGTTAAGTATTACCCACCACCACTATGTCATCCCTCCATGTATTGCCTTGACCTCATATCACGTGACGCCATGTCACCCTCCACGTGGTGGAGGTCGCCCCCACCTTACACCACGTGGTATCATGTCAGCAATTTATATTTTCATTTCATAAGTTGCTTTTATCAAGGTTTGAATTCATAATCTCCTCCTTTTGTGTCCCACGATTTTGCCACTGAATTGGAATGAACATGCAGTCTATTACTGCATAATTAAATATATATATATATATATACGCATATTATTAAACTATACAAACACATACATATATATTAAATATTATAAAATTTTATTACTATCATTAAATACTTTAATTTAATTCTTTTAATTTATTCAAATTGCAAATTATATTATTTATTTTGTCTAAGTAACTGTAAATATAGTTGACACAATATCATTTGTATTATTTATTTTAATTTTTTTACTTCTTGAGATTATTATGTTATTTATTTTAATGTTCATATTTATAATTATAATATAAAAATATTTAAAAATAAATAGTAAAAATATAGATGATTATACATTAGTTCATAATTATTTATTTTTCTAGCTATTTTTATTTAAAATTTTTTTTTATTTTTAATTAACAATAACTCTTAAGTAATGTAATTGGGTTGTTTTTACATTACACTTTACTTTTTTAATTAATTTTTTTAAATTATAATTTTATAAAAAAATTATACACTATATTATCTATTTTTTTATATTTATGTCGCAAGATAGCATCAAACAAAAAATATTATATAGCATCAAATACATAGATATATTTTGTATATTGTAAAAGTTAAAAGTGAAATTTTAGAATATCTCATTTTTTATCTTTCTCTTTTCTATCATTAGCCATCAAATTGAGAACATATAAACTGACATCAAGCTTTTAAATTACTAGTATTAAATATAGAATTTAAATTGAAAAATTATATTAGATTAAATATTATTTTATGAATGAATAAATTTAACTATCACATATCTAATTATTATAAAAAAGTAGTGTTATTATTTAAAATATCAATTTAATCATAAAATATTTGAAAATAGAGACTCATTACCACATTATATGCATTCTAAATTAAAAAAAAATCAAACATTAGATTTTTGAATGAATTTATCACTTCACATAGGGGTATGTATTAATCAATTCAATTAGATTTGGTGTTATTTGACCAAAACTAATTAACTAAACTGGCTTGAATAGTTGTATTAAATCAAATCAAATATCATTTGATAACAAAAATTGATGTAAAATAATATGATTTAGTTTAATTCTTTACTCTGACTTATTAATATTAAATAATACATTAACCATATCTTAAAATAATTTTACTATTTTAAATTTACAATTTAACCATAAAATATATTAAATGAAAACTCATTATATTATTTTATATATTCATTATAAAATTACAATAATACAATAAAATTAATGTCTTAAAAATTTAAATATTAGTTAAACAAAAATAAAAAATATTGTTAAAAATATAAAATCAAACTTTTAGTGGTGACTCAAAAAAGTTGCCACTGAAAGTCTTACTTTCAACGATGACACTATAAAATCACTGTTGATTGTTAACTTTTAGCGATAACTTATATATCGCTGTTGAAACTTATAACATATTTATTATAACATTAATTTTTAAGAAATTATAATACATTTTAATATATGTAGACAATCAATGGACTCTAAAAAGTTGTCAATGATTATCAACTTTCTGCAGTGACATACACTTGTCATCATTGAAAATTTGATAATTAACGACAATTATATTGTCACCTCAAAAAGTCACCCTTTTAATAGTGACTTTGAATATTACTATCAAAAGCCAAACTTTCAATAGCGGCTTTTTTTTGTCGCCACGGATTGTTCATTTTCAACAACAACTTTTTAGAGTTCCCATTGAAAGTCGTCATTAAAAGTTATTATTATTTTTAATGTATTGTGGGTAGAGCCAGGAATATGGATCAAGTTTTGAGGAGCCACCAGTTTAAATCTGTTTTTTTTTTTTAAGGCTCAAGTTTGAAAATTTGGAGATTTTTTGCATAATTAGGATTCAAGCCCATTTAGCCCTATTAAAAAAAGGCTTACTTCAGCCTCATTTTTGTTTTACCCTAAAAAATAAAATATTTTTAATTTTTTAATTAAATTTAAATTTTAAAATATATATTATAATTTAAAATTAAAATTTATATTATTTATTTTAAATTTTTCGAAATTAGAATAAGAATATGAAATATTATAATGTAAAAATTTAATTTTTAAAAATAA